AAAACTAGTCTTAAGGTGTCGAATTTTGAATTTTAATTTGTAGAATTAGTGTAATAAGATGATATAACATATGATAACAACTAATTAGCGGATTACCCTATGTCCTAGACCCCCAATTTTGAGTTCTATCCATAAACCCCAAATTGTAAACCCTAACCCCTAAATCTCTAAACTCTGAATCCTTCAAATTAAAGTAAATCTGCAATAGTTTTTGTGCAAATTCATGTGTGTTATTGTTCATCACATCCTAAGTGATGATTGACATTATTTTGACATAAATCGCATGTTTAAAATGACGATTATGAAGCGAGTGCACTGAATGCACCCCAAAAAGTGAGTGCACCGAAGACACCATCATGCAACAAAACCTGCTGCCCACTGGTATATTGATGTTGTACGCGGGATAGTAAAGAAAGGGTAGGAACCGGCAGCAATTGCCGTATATGGGTGGGAGGTGGTGACCTATCTATAACATTGATTAGGGTTCTGCATTGGTCTTCATTATTGCACGACGGTTCTCGTGAATTTGGTCCGATCCAATTGTCACTTTGTTCAATTTTTCTTTTAGTACTTGGGGTCGACGGGATGAATCAGTTGTCTCGTTTTGTAAAATGAGTAAATTCGAATTATCTACACCCACCCCAGGTACAATTGCAATTGCACATAGAGTTTTGCTATTTAGATCATGATTTAACCGAAGTTTGGGGCCCAGTCCCTAATTTTCTAACCCAAACCATGAGATTCTTTAATCTTAAAACGAAAATCAATGACAATTTTGACGAATCAAAAGCGTTGATTTTCATTTTAAGATTAAACGAATCTCATGCGGTTAGTGAATTGGGGATTGGGATTTAGCCATTAGGGGTTAGGATTCTTGAAAATTGCAGTTGGGGTGTGTTGCAATTGTGCAATTGGCCATTCTGGTTTTTTGGTGTAATATATGTGTGTTTGTGTATGCAAGTTCGCCTTTTTATTTGGTGTCCAGAACTTATACAGCTTTTGGTAGTCAAGCACCAAATAAAACGCGAAAAACTTAAATTTCTTACTATCAACGTAATGAATCTGAAAATCGTCAAACCGGAGAAGTCCCTCCTAATGAAGGTCTACCATCTTCCTCTCCAATTCAAAACCAATCATCTACTTCTCTATCCGGTAAACTATATTCATCATGTGACAATGGAATTGAAGTTGAAAGAGATCCCGGAAAGAGGAAGAAAATATGTGATTGTGCTATTGAGTTAAGAGATGAGATTAGGTAAAGTACCTAATATACAAGGTTTATCAACCTAAACTCACATACTATAAGCCCCTAGAATATCCAAATAAACTTTGTCCCTTTCAAGAACCATGGTATTTTCTTCATAATGCAGCAGGAAGTGTGAAATATATTTCACCAAGCATTCAAAAATAGATTTTGGGAATCATAGCAAATAGAGTGCGTCGTAAGATACGGGAAATTGGGGATTCCTATTTCTCTATTCTTGTTGATGAAGTAGGAAAGGAACAAATGTCTAGTATTTTGAGGTATGTCAGCACTTACGGTATAGAAATTGAACACTTTTTTGCTAAAACTTCTCAAAAAATGGTTAAACAAGCTATTTGTAATGTTCTCTCTCAATATGACCTTAAAACTTGAAAATTGAGAGGTCAAGGATACAATGCTGTAAGTAATATGTCAGGACATTTTAACGGAGTCCAAGCATTTTAACGAAGTCCAAGCCTACTTTGTTCATTGTTTTGCACATAGATTACATTTGGCAATACTTACTTCTGCAATATGTTATCCTATATAAGATTTCTTTTCGTTATTGGATTCTATCATAAACGTTGTGAAGGCATCTCCTAAATGGATTAGGGACTCACAAGCAATTCACAAAAGAGATCTTGATAGTACGTTAGATGTTGGAGGAATTCAATATGGACAAGGAGCTAATCAAATGATATCCTTAAAGCGTTATGGACCAACTCGTTGGGGATCTCATTATCATTCCATATTGAGCATTATAAACATTTTCAATGCAACTTGTGTAGTGCTTGAGGATCGTAGTCGTTCTAAAGAAGGAATACATCGAGCTCGAGCTAGAGGTGCTTCAAAGAATATCAAGACTTTTGAGTTTGTATTCAATCTACATTTGACGAAAGGGATTATGGGGAGAACATATTTTCTATGTCAAGCATTTCAAAAAGAAGCTATTGACATTGTAGGTGTAGTTGGATTTATTTCCATAGCAAAATTTCAACTTCAACAACTACAAGATAAAGTGTGGGACAAGCTATTCGAGGAGGTAAAATCTTTTTGCTCAAAACATGCAATAGTGGTACCTAATATGAATGCTATACTTGGACGTGGTGAGAAACAAACAACTCTTGAGCACCATTATCATTTTGAATACTTTAATCACTGCATAGATTTTCAGTTGGGAACATTGAATTCAAGATTCAATGAGTTATCAGTTAGATTGCTTCAGTTGAGTGGTGCACCAGATCCTAGAAGTTCTTTTCGATCTTTTGATGAAATTAATATATACAAACTTGCGGAAGATTTTTAATCACAATACTATGAAGGAAATGAGATGCATTGTTTGAAGAGTGAGCTAGGATATTATGCCTCTCATGTGGTTCATAACCAGGAATATGAGGTTTCTTCCCTTGCAAAATTACTAGAGAAGATTGATTTGTTGGTTGATTTGTCTAGTGTTGATGTTACCCATTTCATCGACTACTACCGAGAAATCCTTTTCAGCAATGAAACATGTGAGAGATTGCGCAACAAAATGGGTGATTAATTTCTCGCTGATTGTGTAACTATTTTCTTTGAGAGAGAGAGAGAGAGAGAGAGAGAGAGAGTATGTTATTGGTATGGATAAGACTCTGTTATTGATGAATTTGCTAAATTAAAAGACCGTTGCGTACAATTGACATTGTAATGAAAACAATAGTTATTATATTTTTGTTTATGGTGTCTAATTTTCTATTCAAATGCGGACCAGTGCATTACTTAATCCTGGATATGCTGCTATTACACAATTTAGCCAAAACAATTGTGGAGCCAAAACGCCAGTGCCTCGTTTTCTTGAGTCCATATGCCAGCGTTCCATGTAATGTTGTGACACAATTTAGCCAAACAATGTGCTCTAATTACTACTATTAAAGGGTGATAATGGGCTAACATCAGCCAAACGGATGCAATTTTTTGTTGGGATAATGTCTATGAAGCATTATATTAGAAGACAATTTTTTCGACCCAAAACTTGAAAGGAAACTTTTAATTAATCCAGGAACAACGATTTTTATAGTGTCTAAGGTCTCTCATTCGTTTTTTGAAGTGGTCCTTCCAACAACAGTAGCGCTCTAGGGGGTTAGTTATCTCGCGGGGTTAACCGCCTGAGTCGTTGCCCTATTTGTTGGTGGTTCCAAGAAAGTACGGAACATTTGTTCTTTCATTGCCCCCTTTTCCATATAACTATGGTATTTTGTGGGATTAAGTGATATACTAAACTCGGCCCCAAGAATTAATTTTAGTTTGTGGTGGCGTCAAATTATGCTAGATGATCAGTCCCAAACCCATATTCTCCAAATAGTGTGCCTCTTGTGGAGAATATGGAAATCAAGAAATAAAGTGGTATTTGAAAATGCCCGGCCTCATGTCCGTTCGTTAGCCCGCTAATTCTCTTTTCAAATCAGCGAGGTGCTCTCTGCCCAGCCCGACCCGCCTCCCCTTCCTCATGCTCTTGCCTATGCTAGATCTCTTCTTTGGGAATGCCCGCCTCAAAACTTTTTCAAGATCAACTTTGATGCTGCTCTCCAAATCGCTAGTTCCTCGTCTGGCCTTGTTGTCCGTGGCTCGAATGGGTATGTGCTTCTTGCCGTATGTGCTCAGCATTATGGTATATCGGATCCTTATCTTGCAGAACTCCTAGCAACCAGGGAGGCGATCTCTCTTGCAACTTCTAGAAGTTTGTCTTCGGTCATCATCGAAGGCAATGCAAATAAACGATTTTATCGAACTGCTAAACTATGTTAATGTTTAAGGTTGAAGTATAATAAAGATTTTCCAAATAAACGATTCACATATTCAAATTTTCTCTTCTCTCAATCTTCCACGTCAACCTTGATTTTCCATGTCACTGTTATTTATTTGTTATTATTTTTTTAAATAAACGCTAACTAAAAAAATTAATGTGTAAATAAGCATTACTAGGATTCAAATACACAACTTACAATATAGTGTAAAGTTTCTAACTAGTAAGACAAATTCTATTTGATGATATTAATTGCAAAACTAATCAATGAACTCCATCAATTATATTAATATTTTTAAGGAAGTAATATTATTCATATTTCTATAACAATGTTTGTTTTCTTATAATACCATATACAGTACTCTTATGGAAAACCACATACTAAAGAAATCCAAACAAACTCCTAAAGTGACAATTGGATTGAATGTTTATATTCAAATAAGACATGTCCAACAACCATTTATACAAACATTATCCGACTAATAGACCGAGTAAAAAAGCTAGTACATATTATGGGGGATGTTTAAAAATGGATTACCTGGACCCAACTAATAACCAACAGTCCATTTACTTGATCGGTTTAACGGACTAAAACGGGTTGACAACCTTCATTGAAATTGAAACCACAGATCGAAGGATTCGCTCAAAATTGGGTTCATAGTCCCTAATCGATTGTATAATTAATTCACTAGAGATACATGAGGAAAAAGAGAAACTGTCTTGTCACCCTGATCTTTGGAAGTCATAGATAGTTAGACCTTAGCCTATTCAAAATTCCGTACAAAAGTTATCAAAATCGCAAACATCACCTGCCCAAGAAGCTCCATCATTTATCTCATTCCAATCCCATTTTGCCCAGAATATTTCTCAGCAGGACCCAGTTCAGTTTCAAATTTCAATACTTGAAGGAACTGGAAAGGGTAAATCCCAATTTCCAATTTCACATCCTCCTGCTACCTCTACTCCCAAAGTCCGCAAATGCATATGCTTCACTTAAACCCTAGCTCCCTCTTCTTCCAGTCAAAACCCAGTTCTTCAATCCCGCTCTCACCGGCAGTTTCCACTTCATTCCGCTGCTTTGCTGTCGGAGGAGACGTCCCCGCCAGGCCAGACTCCCCCCGGTGGTTCCCATTCATTTCTTCTTCTGCTGCTGATGCCGGCGGCTTCCGGACTGGGAAAGACTCCGATGGAGGAGGAGTTGGTTCCGGCTACGGTTCTGCCGGCTTGGACGGCGGCTTGTCCCAGAGGCGAGGGGACAGCGGCGGGAGTGGAAGCAGGTTAAATGCAAGGGAGAAGAAGTGGTCGAGGAATAGGGAGAGCTACTTGGTGGATGATGATGATGTGCTCCCACTTCCCATGACTTATCCTAATACTAAACCCGTCACTCCCAAAGAGATTGACAAGCGATTGAGATGTGACCCTGAAGTTGAGGTAAATGAAGTTTCAAGAACATGTTAAAGCTGAGAACTTTATGTTTCTAAGGCCGGCATTTACATAGTGGTCCAATGGGATGTCAGTGCCTCCCATTTTTCAGCTGACTGGATTCTGTGTATTTAGTTTTGGACAAGGGGATGAATGGAAGCTCATTAGTCATTACCATTTTTTCGCTTCTGATTATTTTACCAGGCTTCGTATGATGATGGTGTTAAAGGGCTTTTGTTTCACTGCTTATGACTTTTGGTTATTAGTGATGTGTTACTGAAGCAGTGACTTTTCACTTCTGGAACTGTAGGATTGTAGGGAAGTGGTTTATGAATGGATTGGAAAGTGCAGGAGTTGCAAAGGGACAGGGGATGTCAGTTATTTTAACAAAAGAGGGAAAGAGATTATCTGCAAATGTGTGCCTTGCCAAGGGATCGGTATGTTTTCCTTCTCTACATGCTGCAGTACTGCAGCAATGAATGAACGATGGCTAGATGGTATACGAAGTAAAGAGTAAATCCGTGCAGATTCTTGGTTGGCTTATGAGAAAATCGAATGTGAAAAATGTTTATGTAGACCATTGGGGGAGCTTAGTGCATAACCGAACCAACTGATACAAATGCTTAGTATTACGGTTAGAGGACAGTCGGCAGATTTTTGTAACCGGCTTCATTTTGATAATTGGGAGATGTTGCTACCACATCTTGTATCTGACACTTTCAGAATCTGGCTTTCTAGTTTATTGAATGGGAAAAGGTTAGGGCAAAGGAATCATATTCTGTTGCAACCATCCATGAAAATTTCAGATTTCTAAAATGCTGGTTGCAGTTTCCCAAGGAACGAATAAATGATGCTGGAAAGCTCGATGGGTTGAGCCTACAATTATGGGTTTTTTCCTTAATGCTGCTAATCTTTCGATCCTAGCCTTTATGCAAAGGATAGAGTCCTTCCCCCCTCTATCTATACCTTAGGTCCACAACGTTTGGCACCCATGGTTTTGGCATAGAATAATTGATTATCGTAGAAAGTGGCTACTAGTTGGGTGCTATCCGTACTCAATTGTGCTATCAGATAATGTTGGTGAGCTGTATTCTTTTTGTTTGTCACAATTGTGACAATAAGCATTTCATCTGGGAGCTGACTTACCCTTTTGAGCATCTCTTCTCCATGAACTTCTTAGTTTGCCTACTTCTTTTCCAGATTCCAATTGGCTAACAATCTAATTCAAGCTGTACAGGATATGTCCAGAAGATTACTGCTCGGAAGGACATTGAAGTAATGGAGGATTTGGACAATGGAAAGCCACCATGAGATCGACCACCGTGTCTTTTTTAGGTTCAGACATCAGAGTATACCTTCCATGAATTCTGGTTTTGGTACAGAATCATAGAGACTGACAAGCATATATTGACCTGGAGAATATGGGGCAAAAGGTGATGGGCATGGGCAATGGACTTCAAATTTGTTAACCTTTTGAAGAAAGGAATCTATTCTTTCCATTGAGCTTCTTCAACCATGGCTTTCTTTTTCATGTGTACATCTCTGGAAGAGGTTTCTCACAAGTTGATCTCAGGAATAAGAAAAAGCCCTCTTTACTTTATTCTATCCTTTCCACCTTCCTTTATATACATGCATGGAGTTCATACATTATAATAGCACTAACATCTTCGTCATCTCGCAACCTCCTTTGCTGCTAAAAATCCCCATGTCGAACGCTAGCTTTCTGGAGTTTCAGTACAAGCTCTCAAAGAACAAGTTCCTCCGAAAGCCTTCTCGGATGCTCTCCTCGCGCAGCAGGCAGAACTCAAGCAGTAGCATACCAATAATGTTGCAGCCGAGTGTGAAGGAGATGAGACAAGTATTCAACAAATTCGATTCGAATGGAGATGGCAAGATCTCTCAGCAGGAGTACAAGGCCATGCTGAGGGCTCTAGGGCAGGAGTCCATGATTCCGGATGTGCCCAAGATCTTCAAAGTAGCCGACCTGGATGGAGATGGGTTTATCGATTTCAACGAGTTTGCGGAAGCTCAGAGAAAGGAAGGAGGCGTTCGCACGATGGATTTGCAGAGCGCTTTCAGGACGTTTGACGCGAATGGGGATGGGAGGATAAGCGCGGAGGAAGTCCTGGGAGTCCTGAGGCAGCTTGGCGACCGGTGCAACCTCGAGGATTGTAGGAGGATGGTTAGGGCAGTCGATAGCGATGGGGACGGGCTGGTTAACATAGATGAGTTCACCACCATGATGACTTGAACCCTCGTGCATAATAACTAAACATGGCTGGCATACGTGGACCTAATTGTGAATTGTGATCATAACAAGCAGCAGTAGGCCAGTTGTCGTTCAGACCATGTATGCCCATCCGTTCAAGCAGCTCGTGCACTTTTATACATAAGGTCCCAGAAAATAGAGCCAAGTGAATAAACTAGGTAACTACATTGTTCTACTGATAATATTGTTTCAGTAATCTTGTATCCATACAAAAGGAAGAATGGATCACCAGTAGTCTCCACAAGAGCACTTGCCATCCCTGAAGTGGTGAAACCTCTTATTATCCCTAACGATCAACTCCCTCCCTACGATCCTGGACATAATCTTGATGGCATTGTGACAGTCACCGCAGATCCGGAGGTTCTTTATGATCCTCAGTGTCGTCCTCGCCAGAGTGCTGATGAGTCCATAAGCAATGGCCAACCTCTCGCTGTGGTATAACAAAGCTTGCTCTTTCGCCTCTTGATCAATGTCATGAAGAACGTATCTGGTATCTGGGACATAACCCGAGTTCTTCAACTCCATCAGTTCCTTGAGTTTAGGATCATCCTTGTAAAGAGCAGGATAACGGTACTCTGCTATTCTACTCTTCCCTTCCAGCATGCTGACTGCAGTACGCTTCACTGGAGGTGGTGTAGGTATCTTTTTAGCCGCTGCCTTGGAAGGATCCATTGAAACAATCAGTTCTTCGAGGCGATCTTCAAGATCCACATCTCCGTGGATTCGAGCATAGTTCATGTATTTCTCCCAGATTTCTACAGAGGGATCAAAGGGCAGTTTCTCAATATACTGCTCGATTTCATTGAGAAACCCACATTTGCCAAGTACATCAATCATCCCAACATAGTGTTCCATTTGTTGATCGATCCCAAAATCGTTCTTCATCGACTTGAAATGGATGAACGCCTCATCCACAGCATCTGCACTTCCACAGGCTGATAATACAGCGAGGAACGTTTCCTCAGTGGGTTTCAGATCTAGCTTCCTCATCTGCTCAAACAGTTGCAAGCCTTCATCTCCCAAGCTATTGTTTGCATAACCATGGATCATTAGGTACCAGGTATCCATGTTTCTTTTTGGCATGTGATCAAACACCCTACGAGCATCAGTCATGCTCTCGCATCTGCCATACATCTCAATCACCTTATTGTTCAACCTGAGATCACCCCTGCAAGTCGATTGCAGAAGGTAGTCGTGCACTTTCTTGGCATCCTCGAGTTTGCTACACAACCCAAATAGAGAATCGAAACAAGCGTAATCAGCTCGAAGGCCTCTATCCATCAACTCGATTGCTTCCTTGACCTTCCCTTCCTGGCACAAACGCAACAAATCGGCTAATGAAGCCACTGGAATAACAGGCTCAGCTTCGAAATTTCTGGGTTGGGGATGCTGCACTTGAACTTGGTTATCCCACTGATTTGGAGCTCCACGTTGGCCGTAGTTCTGGACATTATGATTCACCTGGGCGGGGGGATTATGGTGCTGAGGGTAGCTCTGACCACCTGGAGAATTCCAGTGGCCAGGGCCTCCTTGAGGAGGTGGATGTTGCGGCTGGTTGAATCCACGATTAGGGTATCCCTGATCTGGATTAGCATTAGTATTAGGATTAGGGTATCCTCTACTGGGAAACCCCTGGTTGGAATTCAGCCTTTGATTCGGAAAGTTGCCCTGAAAATTCCCCTGCCCTGCCCCCATCTGTGTCGGAGGATTTTGCTGAGGGTGGTGCCACTGGTGATGGTTGCCTTGCTGTTGCTGCGGCGGAGGGTTCTGCTGAGGAAGGTGCCACTGGTGATGGTTTCCTTGCTGTTGCTGCGGCGGCGGAGGTACTCTATTATCCCAGCGGGGAACTTGATCAGTAACCCTCTCGCCATGGAAAACCCTAGGCTCGGAGTGAGATGGTGGCGGGCGGTGGAATTCATTGAGGATTGCCGAGGAAGTGCTCAGAGTTCTGACGCCAGCTAGGACTCTATCCAAGGGAGAGAGCGAGAGGTGTGGAAGTAACCGTACCTTGATGACGTCGGAAGACGAAGAAGAGAGCGGCGTCCTCGAGCGGCATACCACCATGAAAGACGCCATTTTGCTCGACTGTAGATTGAAACCCAAAGAGATTACAGAAGGGAAGGCAGCACCGAAACTCGCCCAGGAAAAATAAATATTAAATTATCAAAACCCTAGTTAAACCCCCTTGCTAGAATAGAAAGGCAGAAGGCAAACGGGGATCGGTGATAACGAGGTGGAAGGAGGAAAAGGGATGCGGGAGGTGGGATCGGTGATAAAGACGGCACCGGCGAGCGGCAGATGTTTGGCTTTGGCGAAGAGAGAAGATCACCGGGGTCTGAGGTGGAGAGAGTGAGCGAGGAGGAAGATAAGAGAGAGACGAGTCTGTTTGATTCGCCCTAACAGGATTGCAGGGAAGAGAGGGCTGAAACGACACCGCATTATCCAGTATCGTGGGTTGTTTGGTTACCCGGGGGAAAAATAAAAAATCGCCGTTGCCGGGGATCGAACCCGGGTCACCCGCGTGACAGGCGGGAATACTTACCACTATACTACAACGACTGTTGATGACGTCAATGAGTTGTTTTCTTATACGATCGTTGAAATATGCTTTGTGTTATTATTTTTGAGGATACCTAAAGGGTAAAGTAAACATTGATTAGGATTCTCTCAATTGATGCATTTCCTCAAATTATTCAAATGTATTGAAACAAAGCATGAAATTGAAAAATATTATTTCGAAGTTGTCATTGTAATTTTCTGTATAGAAAAAATAACACACTTTTCAAGACTAAAGACACTACCATGCATTTATTATTCCTTCTTCTCCAACTCCCCGAATACTAAATAGCGACCTTCATCGCATTGGAATTCTCTCTCCGGCCATGCCATGGCCACTTCCATGAGAGACATGACGGCGAAGAAGATCACTCTCCTCTCTCTCCCTATCCCTTTCTCAAAGGAATCCGGTCTCCCCATTTAAAATTAAATAAACATTAATGAATGATCTCCTTTGATTTCTGGCAAAAACAGATGTTGCAGCATTTATGCTTCGATTCCCAGCAGGATATCGAGTTAGGTTTCCACCTTTGTCGTGACTCGTGATGGTGACATAGGTCAATTTTCTTGGATGTAGAGGGAGATTAAGGTTGGGGTTTTGGTTGAAGTAAAGAGTAGAAGAGTTGTGGTTTTTTTCTTCTTCTCTGGAATTACACGAGTGAGGGAGAGAGGAGTTGGCGATGAGGGTAATGGAATAAATTAAAGATATAAGGAAGGGTTATAGGTATAATATGCCCATTTACTATGTCGTTTTATCGAACATGTCCTTCTACTATTTTTTACATCAAACATGCTCTTGTACTTAAGAAAAATGATCAAACATGCCCTTCTGTTAATATTTTCATCCAAAAACAGCCAACCACGGTCGTACCTTGGTTTGGGCGACACAAATGTCTAAAATATCCCTGATAATTTCACTTTAGAATTTTTTGGATTCTTTTGTAGAGCCAAATACCTCTAATAATTTCACTTTAACGAGACTTAGAAAAATAAAACGGAGGACAAAACTGACATTTTTCTTCACATTTGCCGATGTCGGGTCGTCTACATCTCGGTTCAACCATGGTCGTCTACATATATTACCTTTTTATGAGTCCACCTGTGATAATTCAAAAAGGTAATATATGTATTCCAACTCAAATTAAATAAAAAAGATACTAAATCTTACAATTACATGTATTAGCTAAATACATCAACTGAAATCCTAACCTCCAAACGACCCTTAATTGTTGTGTACACAACTAGTAACTAGGATAACCAATGGATTAAATATCGACAAAGGAAGTTAAATTAGCTAGATTCAACATGTAGCATTTGGTCACAAGATAAATACTTGATGAAGTTAATATATATAAAGGTGAAGTTTGGTTACTGTTGCCAAACTATTTACATTTTCATACCTCAAATTTAATTAAATCACAACTTAGTTACTATAATGTACATTTACATTTAGATATCCCAAAATTACTTTTTAAGTAAAATCATTGAGCAATTATGTTTGGCATCTAAATTTTATGAGATTTTCGTACCTACAATTTTTAAATTTACATATCGGTCGAATGTTTAGATTTCACTTGAATCCATGAATCCAATCCACCAATCCATGAATCCAATCTATCATAACATAAAAATATAAATTTAGTTTGTACCATGCAAGATGTTGTATCACTCAACTGTAGGAGAAGATTCGACCATTTTGGTTTTCCATGAGATTTTTACTTCAAAAAAATATGTATGTTATCCATTTGAAATAATAATTACCATTTTTTAAAAGAACATTATATTCGATGATGTGACAACATATTTAGTAAAATATAATACGAGTACATAAGATAATGATCTGTATGAAGTTTTTGTATGACATTCTATTAACGGTTGCCTAAATAATTGTATTTTGATACCCCAAATTTGATTAAATTACAACTTAGTCACTATAGTGTATATTTTACATTTTGATACCTCAAATTTAATTTTAATGTAAAAACATTGAACAATTATGTTTTGGTATCTTAATTTTATGAATTTTCGTACCTACAATTTTTTAAATTTACATATTGGTCGAATATTTAGATTTCATTTGAATCCATGAATCCAATCCACCATAACATAAAATTATAAATTTAGTTTGTACCATACAAGATGTTGTATCACTCAACTGTAGGAGAAGATTCGACCATTTTGGTCATCCATGGGATTTATACTTCAAAAAAAATATGTATGTTATCTGTTCGAGCCCGGAACCCCTCTCTTCACACCTGTCGTTCCGATCCCCACGGCTCCCTCGGATATGCGCCCCCCTGCACCCACACAAGTACCTAGCGGACCAACGTGGTCCGTTAGCACTCCGACGCTCAAGTGAGAAACCTTCTTTTAGAGAGAGAAGTGAAGGAACAGTTCTAGTAAGAGAAGCTAAAACTGAGTAAATGAGGTTTACCTACTCGACTATTTATACCCGGGGCGAGATCGACCGGTATCCGTCGCTCTCGCCCTGTGTCAGGCCCGTCATAAATGCACCGTACGTCCCTCGCGCATGCGCCTCGACCGTCTGACACCATGGTCAGAGGTCCAAGGCGCATGACCTCACCCAGTCAGCCCTCCGTACCCTTTCGACCGTTGGTTACCTTTGTCTTGTGCGCCCCTCACCTGGTACCCGGTCCCACTTGTCTCCCACGTCACTCTGACCACCTGCGCCCTTATCAGGGCGCCCCCTTAGCCCCAAAACCCTTGCCCCCATGGGCTTTCCTGAGCTCCTCTGGCTGGGCCCATATCTGCATCCCACTAACACCCTACCTTGGACTTCCCTTTCCATGTTGGGCCCCCGGCCCATACTTGTTCCCCCAACAATTCCCCCCCAGTTAGGTGCCTAACACCCCAGGTTAGGGGCCTGACTGTATTCTCCCCCTTCAGGGCTCGTGCGCCTCCTTCCTGACATCTATGCGCCTCTTCGTTCCTTCGTGCGCCTCTCCCATCTGCAGCTTGCTCCACTGCTCCTGCCTTGTACTCTCTTTCTCTCCCCCTCGCACACTCATATATATTTTCTCTTTTTCTTTATCGCTATTACTTATTTTCCATTTCATCCCATATTTTTTCTTTTCTTCTTTTTTTTTTCTTTCCTTCTCCGCGACTGTTCATCTTCCGCCTTTCTTTCTGTGCCACTATGACTCCTGCCATTCCACTCTCTCCCCCCCTCAATCCGTTCGGGATTCGAAATTCAAATTTCGAAATCGCTAACGGATCGAGGAAGCCTCTTCGCCTTCCCCTTCTCTCTCCTTCCTTCGCCCTTGGACCTCTCTATAAAATCCCCTCTCCCCCTCTACAGCTCTCACAATTCGACTACACCCTCTCTCTACTTCCTCTCACTAACCGCCGAATTCCCCCTTGCTCTGCCCTACGCGCCCCCCACTTGCAATGGCATCCTCTCGTCAGATACCTCTCCCCTCACAGACTCCTGCGCCTGCCGCCGAATCAGCGGTGCCCCTCCACGATGCTGATGCGCCTGCCACCGATGCGCCTGCCTCCAATGCGCCTGCCGCTGCTGCGCCTCCCGCAACCGCCGAAGGCGACGCAACCAACATTCCTGCCGCCCCACGCCGTAAGTATCCCCATATGCGCCTCCTTTTCCTTCATAGTGTGAACTTCCTTTCGCCTGCTTGTAAACCTTTGTTGCTGCGAACATAGGGTCCCTGCGCCTTGTACGAATCCGCCGCCCCCTTTTTTTTTTTCCGCCTCCTTCTCCACCCTTAGCCAATTAGCCTCACCCCTTGCCCCTTCCTTTGACTCAGGCGCCTTCATACCCCAAGACTACGTATTCAGGCCATGGGACTCGATGTGGCCGCCTGGGCATGCGCCTCAGAATACATCGCTACTCCCTGTGGAGGAGGCTGGTCCCCACCACGCCTCGAAGCAGTTGGGAGTGCGGCTAGAGAAACTTGTCGTATGTGCCCAGATGCCTGCGCCTTGGCGGTACATCAATGCGCCCCCCGAAGCTCGTGTCGGGTTGTGTGGCGAGGGGTGGGTGGGCGTGTACCAGGAGTTCATCCGGTTCGGCCTGCGCTTCCCCATTGACCCAGTGCTTGAGGGCGTCATGGTTACCTGTGCGTGTCCTCTTGCGCGCCTCTCTCCCGCTGTCATTTTATCGACCATTGTCTTTCGCTACCAGTGCCGAAGACATCACGTCCCCCCTACCTTCAAACTTTTCAAACATTTCTTTAAAGTGACCAAGAGTAACAACTGCCTGAGTTTGCAAAGGCGCACGGCGCTGGGGTACGGATTCGTCAGTAGCTGCGTGAAGATGGGGCGCTCGTGGTTTGACTCGTATTTTTTTGTCAAACCACGCGAAGTGCCCTTCTTTGAAAGTGGGCGCCCCATTAGTTCAGAATGGTCACTGGGGAACCGCTTCGCCTTTAACAAGGAGGAGCCGCTTACTGATGCTGAGGAGGCCATGGCGAGGTCCATATCGACCAACCCCATAGACCTCGAGGAAGGAGAGGAATACGCCCGTGTCCTCGCCGAGTTCTACG